ATGTGGTCCACGAGAGGCTCATAGCTGTGGTTGACTTGTGAGTCATCAACTGGACAATATTTTGTAGAGCTACTGAAGAAAACTCTGGCAAAGGTGGACATTGATCTTCGGAATTGTGTGGGAAACTCAACCGATGGAGCGGCAAACATGCAGGGCCAATACAAGGGGTTCTCCACCTTGCTCTCCGCAGAGTCTCCCAACCAAGTGCACATCTGGTGCTACGCACACGTCCTGAACCTTGTGCTAGGAGACACCACAGGTGTTGTGATAGCCAGTGCATCGCTCTTCTCACTTCTGAATGATGTTGCTGTATTCATCAGAGAGTCATACAAGCGTATGAACATGTGGGAGGAAGTGAGTGAAGACACACGACACAGACGGCTGTCTCCAATCGGGGAGACAAGGTGGTGGGCCAAGGATCAGGCTCTGAGCAAGATATTTGGGTGTTTTGGCAATCGTGCCTTGTTTATTGACTTGGTGTCAACATTAACAAGGATTGAAGAAGATGACTCCATGAAGCCACATGTCAGAGCAAAAGCCAGGGGGTACACAGAGTCTCTCCTAAGGTTCGAGACAATACTGACCGCTCAGATCTTTCTCCGAATATTTGAAATCACGTCACCCCTCTCCAAGTATCTCCAAACCAGCGGCATGGACTTACTGACTGCCCATCGGTTAGTAATAGGGACCCAAGAGAGCCTCAACAAGTGTGTCAGGGGTTTTGATGAGGTGAAAAGAGCAGCAGATGCATTTGTGGAGTGGGCCAATGCCAAGCTGCAGGAGAAGGAGGACTGTGAAGTTGTGGTCCAAGCTGTGCTCCCAGAGAAACGGGTCAGGAGAAAGAAGGCCATGCCAGGTGAGTTGGCTGAAGATGAGCCTGTGTCAGACGCTGAGGCAGACTACAGGATCAAGGTCCACAATGTAATTCTGGACACAGTCACAGAGAGCATTCAGAGTCGCTATGCTGCAAATGGACCACTCTGCGCAGACTTTGCATGTCTTGATCCTCGGAATTTCCCTAAAATAAAGGAAATGGGCCTTCCAACAGAAGCATTGCAAAAGCTGAGCGAATGCTTGCAGAAGTATGATGAAAGAGCCACTGCTGGAATACTGCAGGCTGAGCTGTCAAGCCTAGCCAACTGTTGGGAAAGACTTAAGATGCCCCATTTGGATGCATACAATGTCAGGACAACCGAAGGGGAGGATGGAAGAGAAGAAGACCTGGAGCTAGAGAACAGTTGCAACTACTGCAAAAACTGTGCTATTTGTGTGCATCATGTCTTGTCACAGTACAACTTGCTGACTGATGCCTATCATGTCATTGGATTGGGCTACAAGTTCCTCCTAACACTGTCATTCAGTCAAGTTGCCTGTGAGAGGACCTTCTCCACACTGAAATATGTGAAGAATCGACTGAGGACCACCCTGACCCAGGAGCATATGGAGGCATTCATGCTCATGTGCACAGAGAAGGAGATTCTGATGGCTCTGGACACTGATGGAGTGATTGACAGGGTCGCAGAGACAAGTGAGCTGCTGCGACACCTGCTGGTGATGTAAGGTAGAACAGTCTCTTTGTTTTGGGGTTTCTGAGAGGGTATGTGCCTGTTGTATTCCTTGAAGTTGGTTATTTAATACTGGACAAGTGCTCTCATAATGACTATTAGAATCATTTGTTGGTTAGACCACATGGCATTGATTGAATATCTGAGCTGCTTGTGCATTGGCACTTCTTTTTGTTTACAGCCAGGCACAGGCAACCATTTTTGACTATACCCATTTGCTGTACTTTGTCCTTAATCCCGTACATTCACACGTTACTGACTCCTACATATCCACTTTGACACACTTCACACATGACACGGACATTTTTAAGAAACCTTAAATAAAGGAAGGTTTCATTTTGCACCTTACTCTTGTTGTCCATCTCTTTTATGTTATGGCTTGACTCTGGGGAATCTAGCCATAACAGTATATATGAGCATAGTAGATGTATAATTTATCTGTAGGCTACAAGGGTGGCCCGCATGCGTGGGCGGCGGCCCGGCGGGCCGGTGTGTGGGCCGGTGCGTGGGCCGGTGCGTGGGCCGGTGCGTCTGAACATCCCGGGCTGAATTTGTGTCCCAGTCCGCCCCTGGACGCAGGCGAGTGCCAAGCACTTCCAGGCGTTCCTGGTCGATGGACTGGTCGATGGACTGGTGAGGTGGAATGAGGACCGTGCAGCGGCAGCTGCGGGAGAGGTGGAGCCTCTGCACTCCTACAGTGGCCACCTCAAGCACGTCCTTAACCAGAAGAGCCAAAGGGTGCTTGGCCGTCAGCTGGTTAAGGACTTCACCAAGCCTGTCGAGTACACAGGTGGGTGATGTGAAAACCCTATTCACTTTATTCAGACATCAGAACTGTGAGGAAAAGGAGCATTTTGCAAATCCTTTGCTTCCTGTCTTTTTGCCGCGTGACAGGGGAGCTCATCGGGGTGGAGTTCCTGTACAGGCAGACAGGCAAAGTGCTTGAGGACGTCAGCTTGGACCCCGACATTCCGGACGAGGCTGCTGCCATCCAGTCGCTGGAGGAGGTGGACGAGGGTATCGAGGAAGACGTGGAGGACCCGACCGTCTTCCAGCCAGATACCCCGACCGTCTTCCAGCCAGATACCCCCTCCACCGGCACAGCAGCCCGGTCGAGTGATCCGTCTGACTCACCCAGGTGTGTCCCTCTCATGGCTGCCCCTCCTCCTCCCCCTCCTCCTCCTCCTCTTCGATTACTGCTCCCGGCTGGCCCTCTCACGGCTGCCCCTGCTGCTCAGCCTCCTCCTCTTCGTGTGCCCAGGACAACGGCCTACAGGAAGAGGAAGGCGGCGGAGGCTGATGCTGCAAGGGGTGGGCCGTCGCCCTGGAGCAAAGCCCGCCAGCAGACAGGTCAATACACCTGCAGCAAGTGTGGCCAGGCCAAGAGGATCGACACTGGCCACACTCGCATTGCAGGTGTGTCTCACTGCGCGGCTGCCGGTGGGAGAACTGTGGAGTAATGGCGGGTGGAGATGAAAAGACTCAAAGGGACCGAGGGGGGGAATGATGCCACTTTTTTCTTTAATTGTCTTTTGTCTTTATTTATTTCAATCTATTTTAAAATAAAACTCTGAACTGAACTTTGTGTGGAAACTTTATTTAGAATTCATTACACAACGTCTGATATTTCACTGCAACACGGGTCAATAAAACACAACATGGTACATAAATAAGCACAGTAGAGATGATGGGATGATACACACACACACATATATATATATATATATATATATAGATATATATATATATATATATATATATATATATATATATAGATATATATATATATATATATATATATATATATATATATATATAAATATATATAAATATAACGTGCATCATAATACAGCTCTGTAGTACAAACCTTTCTTTAATCAAATCAGTTTTATTGATTCAGATGTTATCTCACAGCACTTTACAGATAGTATACCGTAGTCTTTGTAGTTTATTACAATGATCATCATTTACCAAAAACCCCTGTTTCAGAGTCACTATGTGTCAGTCAGTGCTGGCTCTCATGGCTGAGAGGGGAGCTCTTCCTCATCTCCGCCACAGCTGGGGATCGAACCGCGGAGCGGGGCCCCCTTTCCTCTCCTTGCCCCCCTGCTTTCGCAGAGAAGAATGGGCAGTATCCTCGGGGGTTGCTCCAAAGAATGTTGTGTTTCCATTTCTTGGAATGTTGTGCAGGTAAAATAAACCATAGTTACTTATAATTAGTGACAATTTGTACATCCTTTGCTATTATTTACATTTTTTTTTCTCATTACGGAAATTAAAGACTACCTGGCAGCCCTGCGCTACAATGAAAACGCTGATCGTGCACAAGCCACTACATCCACTGGAAACCCTCTGTATAAACTGCAGTTCCCAAAGGCCAGGAAGGGAGAATGCAGAGCAAAACCCATAAAGACTGACCCCACATTCCGTAAGTGTTTAAAATATTTATTATACAACTATTTACACAACAAAATGTACACCTTACATTGGATATTTCACATTTCAAATCTCTTTCAAAAAAAACTGTAGCGTTACAACAACAATGGCAGAAGTAAAAGAGTACACTCAGTTTTTTCACATGCATACACAAATCTAAACCAAATATTTGTTTTGCTTTTTTTAATATTGCACAGGCTACGTTGCCAACTTGATGGACCTCATCTTCGACCAAGTCTTTGTGGACCCTGCACCATTCATACAGGAGCTTTTGAAGATACCCATCCCAGAGGACCTGTGTTCCCAATATGAGCGACCTGACAGGGAGGAGGTCATCGCAGGTTATGCTTCACGGTTCAATTTGACTGTCTGAACCCAACATAGACATTTTGCGGATCAGGAAACTCCCTGCGAATCCTGAGGACAACGCAGGCCGGAATCACCACTCTGATCCTGCGTCCAAGGAAGCCCCAACACCAGCTCACAAAAGTTCTGTAGGCTAGATACATGTGACGCCTGAAATCATTTCAAATAATATTTAGTGAAAAGCCTATGTCATTTATGTAAAATACAAGTACATTTACTTTATTTTTATGGGTTCAAAGAACCTTTGCTTTTAACAATAAAGTTCCGACAGTTTATATCAAATGTGTCATGATTATTCATGTTGGATGGGTAAAGTATATGCTGATTTCAAAAGCATAAGGTTGTGTGTGGACTTTTTTTGTCATCAACAAATGGGTATGTTATGCCATTGCTGTGTAGTATATCATAATAGTAACGCCATGTACAATGACAGAATGAAATGAAAGATTGCATAAAACCATATACACCAGTATTTATTTTCATGAACAATATTAGCATACGTTTTACAAATTCAGTCAAAAGAAACAAACCACTCACTGCTGTATTTGCCTCATCTGTAGTCTCCCATATTCAGCTCTGTATATATTCAATGCATTCTGCAGGGAGAACACATTTAGGCATACAGGCTCTAATCCAGGATGGTCCACCATACAACGCACCGAGTCCTCAAGTTCCTGCATCCGTCTTGACACCTAGTGAGATAAACATATATTGAATGACATGTGAAAAATGTATTCTCTAAACAGAGAACTTAGTGAAGCTATCACAAATGTTACCTGTGGTATCTCAATGCAGCACACATTCTCAGGTTCCGAAGGCATTGTGGCGCAATTTCCACATGTACACCTGTATAAAGAAGTCAATAAATGAATAAATGTTTATTGTATGATATATGTAGTCTACCGCTGTTTTTGCGTTACAAACTACACATTTCATTCTTGCTAATTAGCCAAAATATGAACGGAATAAGTAGCAAGCATCGTAACAACAAACAGAGTTAACGTAAAATAAATAGGGACAAAAGTGTGTCAACTAACCATTCAGAAAGGTCCTGCTGCAACCGAGATATTTGCACTTCCACCGAAACCTCGTCTCCTTCAATGACCGATTCTGGATCATACTCATCAAAATACGCTTGAACGCATGCATTTCTCAGGGAGGACATGTTTCTTCTCGTCTAGTTTTCAAAACAATCATGGGAACATGACGCTCGTGCTGGGGCCGTCGCCCCCCTCTTCTGCAGGGGGGCGTGGTCAGCTGCAGCTCAAGCTAAGTCACAGAATCAGCCCCTTGCAAAAACAGGCCTGGAGAACAGCAAATAGAGCGAAATGAGGCATGGCTAAAATGCATGATCTGTTTGGTATTTTGAAAAAAGAAACGTATAAATATACCTTATATAGGTGTGGCCCTACAATATATCATTTAAATATAGCATGATAGGTCCACTTTAAATCTCACTTAGAGTCCCGCCCCTCCCGTTCATTTCTATGGCATTCTGGTTTCCTCTTGTTGTCCACCCATTGGTTGTCCCACTTAGTTCTAGTACTCTGATTGGACCATCTGTTGGGGGAGGCTGCTTTAGGTAAGTCTTTGCTTCGTGTAGTTATTAAGATTTATATAATAACATCTATTTGGTATGTCAAGTGTGTTTTACTGCTGTGCACAGCAACTCCTCCTCCTCCTCCTGCTCCGCGGTCCGCTCCTCAGCTGCTGCAGCATCCTCCACCTCTTCCTGGGCCTTCACATCAGGCCACTGTTGGTACTGTTGGAGCCCCCGGCAACCAGCAGGTTGATCAGCTGGCCCAGGGTCTGGTGGAGCTCTGCGGAAAGGGAGCCATCACCCAGGAGGAGTTGGAGGTGCTCGTGGGTCTTTGGGAGAACCTCCTGGATGTGGATAAGAGCCGTGTAGTGTATCCGTCACGCTACAGGGCCCAGCTGACAAGGGGGGGGTTCAAGAAGTCAAAGACCTCCACAGCCAACAAAGAGGCCGTCCCCGAGTTGGAGAGCATGAAACGGTAGGTGAAGCGCCCCCTGCAGTGTATGCTCTCTTACAGGTTTTATATCCACTCACCTCTCTCCTCTGGTTCCAGCTGCATGGTGGGAACAGGCCGCGCCACGTGGCCCGACACCAGCCGGTTGGTGGAGGCCATCTTCATCCTCCTCTGCCAGCTGAACCCCAGCAGCAGAATGAAGTGGGGGCACCACCTGAGCCGCTGGGCTCTGGTGATTCTGGAGTACGACCGGATCAGATGTGTGGTCTCCAGAAGTCCAGCGCTCGTAGCCAGGACGACCCTCCAGCTGTTTGGGGTGAACCAGCAGACCCTCTCTCAGTGGTGAGTCTGTTCATTCGCACAGGACAATCTTCTGAGGCCCAGACAACATCTCTTATTAATCCTCTGTGTTCACTCTGCAGGCACAAGAGGTGGACATCGGCCATAATCCTCTGTGTTCACTCTGCAGGCACAAGAGGTGGACATCGGCCCAGGAGAACATCATCCTCACCGCTGGGATCCATGTGCTGCAGGCCCCCCGGGCGGCAGAGGAGGCCCTTCTTCCAGAGAAGGAAATTGCCAAGCCCGAAGGAGAGGAGCCCCGAGCAGAGGAGCCCCTGCCTGGCCCTGGCAAGCGCCCTCTACCAAGAGATGCGATAAGATGCTGTATATAATGTAAATATATTTTTCAAATAAAGAGTTCAAACTTAAATATCTGTTTGGATTTACTTCCTGTAGTTTCCAACACTCGTGCTGTCTTCCTCTGCTGTTGTTGCACTTCAATTGAAGTTCAGCAGGTTTCAAAAAGGAAGGAGATGTCCTTTTGCTTTTTTAGAAAACTTTATTTTAAATAGTTTGAACAATACATATAAAAACACTGCATTGAAAATACACATAATACATAAATGAGTAATTAGTCATAATGTCCTTGGAGGGAGAGGTGCTCAATGACTGAGATGTCCTAATTTTAATTTGTAAAACTTGTAAATAAATAAATGAACAGGTATTTTTAAACTTGAATATCTCTGACTGCTTATTCCTTGCTTTTGACAAGTTCATAACATCTCTTTACCTTCATATCAAGCATGCAGGGGGTGTCAAAGAGTATTTGGGGTGGGGGGATCTGGGTGGTTGGTACACTGGCTTTAATCGATCTAAGGGGCTCTGATCTGATTGGATGACAGGCTCCGGCCCCCCAACTGAGACCTTCTTAACCCAGAAGATCCACTGGGGATCACTGTATGATGAATGCGGCAGGCCTGATCACTCTCACTTAGTCTTACTTAGAGTCCCGCCCCTCCCGTTCATTTCTATGGCATTTTGGTTTTCATCTTGTGGTCCACCCATTGGTTGTCCGACTTAGTTCTAGTACTCAGACCGGCTTTTGAAAAGGTAAGATAAACTCTGCTATTACTCTTAACAAGACAGTCCCTTATAATGTAGTATAACAGTAGATGAATGCCAATGTGTTGTCTTTTAACGTTCGCGCATATTTGCATTGGTAAAAAGTTGCCGCTAAGCCAGAAACACACGGGAGTTTTCCGGCCGTTTGAATCCGTAAATACTTGTCATGTAATGCTTATTACTGTGCGCTAACGTTTATGACGTTAACATTTATATGCACCATTCGTGATTAAAAGTTGCCACTCCGCCATGTACAGTCTTGCAGTAGGCTTGATTGATTGATTGATTGAAAAGTTTATTAACAGCTTGTATATTGGGTACAGTACAGTACAGCTCAAAACATACAATTGTTAAGGGGATGCAGACCAGAGAAAGACTTTCGTCTTGTTTACATCAGGGTCCCCCATTTCCAATTCATCATATCATTTAAGACATATAAGACATATTTGACATACAGATGGCTTATTTACAATTTACATACAGTTGGTTTTTTACATACAGATGGCTTATTTACAATTTTCATTTTAGATTTCGTTCTAATACATCCTAACCGGACATTTAAGACATACCAAGTCTACAGATATACAGTTAGTAACAGAGTCTAAAATGCGAGTATATACATAGATGGGGGGGGGGGGGGGGGGGGGGAAGCTGTCCATTGTACGACAGGTTGAGATTTGTACCATTACCGGGGCCAGATCTGATTTCTTTAACAAGGACACGGGGATATTTATTGATTGATTGATTGATTGATTGATTGATTGATAGGCTACGTCAACATGCATTTCTCCCGTACTTTACTAGACGCAAACACGTTATGCTGTTTTACTTTGCACTAACGTAAATGTTCATGAAGTTAATGCTCACATCCGTTCACAGATGTGGACGGAGGGTTAACGGTCATAGACACTTGGCTATTTAATGAAGTACTGTAATAACTTTAAATATAATTCGTATTTACTATGTGGTAGTGTACTAAAGTTAACATGTATATGAAGGCTACCATAGGGCGAATATTATTATTATAATATAATAAGTATCATTCATTTTTTAAAGTCAGACCTCTGAGGTTAATGTTGAGCTGATGGAAAAGTGTTGGCTAGCATTATCTTTTAAATCAGAACCAGCTTTTACTCATATTATTTTTCTTATTTCTATTCAGACTGTTACTACATGTTTATTCTTATTTCATATTCACGTAAGGCCATGTGTGACTAACTGTAGAAACACTTGATGTGATATTAATCTAACTGTTGCCTCTCAATCTCAATGTCAGTTACAGGAACTGGATCAGGAGGCAGTCCGTCTGGAGCCCCGGGTCCCAACTGGCGCAGCTTAAAGAATACATAGAGAGAAGGGACCAGGAGAAGCAGTCTGTCGCCTCCTCAGCTGCATCAGCAGTCGCCACCTCCTCAGCTGTCTCCCCCTCCACTACATCTCCCCCAAAGAGCGGAGGAAGAGAAAGGCAGTGGTCCTGTGTGTGTATCATGTCAGTGGAGTGTTACTGTCAGTCAGGTGATGTGTGATGAGTGAACATTTTTAAATTGTGTCTGCAGCTTCCTCAGAGGACGAAGACGACCATCTGATGGTGGAGGCAGCGGCTCAGGTGGAGGCTGATTTAGGTAAGTCTGTGCTTCGAGTCATTATTAAGCTTTGTATAATCAAATCTATTTGGTATGTCAAGTGTGTTTTTCTGCTGTGCACAGCATCTCCTCCTCCTCCTCCTCCTCCTCCTCCTCCTCCTCCTCCTCCTCCTCCTCCTCCTCCTCCTCCTCCTCCTCCTCCTCGTCCTGCCCACCAGCAGAGAGCTCTGCCAACTCCACCACTTCCACTACGACAAGTCGCTCCTACCCCTCAGGGCTACCCCCCTGTAATAATGTTGTTATAAACATCTAGTATCAGTGTGTAGTTTAAAGCTGCAGCTCAGTGACCTGTGTGTGTGTTGCAGCTGCTCCTGCCGGCAGCCTGGATGAGCAGCCCTCCCTGCAGAGCAGCACGAGTGGGTCAGCAGGGCTCTGTTTGTGGCTGACAAAGAAGGGAGGCCCGTCCTGTCCCCGGAGTTCCAGCTGTGGCACCGGCCCCTGGCCGAAGTACTCCCAGCGAGTGCCGTTCACTGCCTAGAAATGGACCATAAAGCCCTTACAGAACATTGCCAAGGGATCAATGCAGCTATCACCAAGCCGGAGGCGGATGTCATTGAGAAGGCCACTAAAACACAGGCCAAATCCAAACTCTGGTATCGATACAGAGCTGGGCGGATTACAGCATCTCGTATGAAGGCAGCATGTTCAACAAGTGCAACTAAACCATCGCTTAGCTTGATTAAAGCTATTTGTTACCCGGAAGCCACAACATTTAAAACTGCAGCTACTGAATGGGGATATAATCACGAGAAATCAGCACGTGAAGATTACATTGCAATTATGAACCGACATGGCGGTTTCATTTGTCAGGACTCTGGGCTCGTGTTATCGCCAACATTTCCATATTTAGGTGCTACTCCAGATGGTGTTGTGTCCTGCAAGTGCTGTGGTGTAGGTGTTTTGGAAATTAAATGCCCCTACTGTGTTGCTGCACCGTTAGACCATACATGCCTGGAATCACGTGATGGACAGGACAGGCTGAAGAAGACCCATGCCTATTTTTGTCAAGTGCAGACCCAGT